ATGTTGTTCCAATCAAGCATTAATTACTCCTAAAAATGTGAACACATGGGTAATTTGGACATTTCACAATAAAAAATGACATTTTTGAACAAATTAAGTGCATGTCCATTTTTTTTGTGGATTTTCAAATTTTGTGACATTTATGAAAATCTCCATTTTTTAAAATTGTTTTATATGGAAAAAATGTTAAGTTAACATCTTACCCTTTTTAATTTGGTCAAATTCTACTATCCTTGGTTAACCAATGGTCAAATGTGTTTTCATCCATTTGGACTTCATTTAAAATAGCCGTTACTGTTGACTTTTATTAGACGAGTGAGACCCAATAACGGTCATATTTTCAATTTTAATTGGATTTTAATCGGAAACAAACAGGCTCTTACATATTTTTGAAATATTTGAAATTGTGGTTGACACAAAGTGAAAATTATGATAAAATCTGCAAAAAAATAAAAAGTTGGAGACTGCTGGTGCAATTTTCCCTTGTCAAATTGATGAGACCTTCTTCAATATAGAATTGTTCCATTTCAACTACCCATCATTTTCTACTATAAATATTTGAATAAATGGACGTAAAATTATACAAACAACGTAGAGATAATGTAAAGTGTTGGAAGTTGCTAATAAACTGAGAGAAATTGAAGAATGGCGACGGGGTACTGGCTGGAGAACTTGAGAAAGTTGAGGCCATTTTTGCACCTTCTTTTGCCATTATGCGTGCACTTGATTGCTGAAGAAATTATCGTTTCTGTATTGGTTGATGTCACCACTAACGCTCTTTGTCCTGGCCGGAAAACTTGCCCTCGAGCAATTTACTTTAGTTGTCTACGGCAAACTGTAAGGCCCTGTTTGATTGCACTTCAATTTCATGGAAGATGGAAATTAAATTCCATTTTCCACTTTTTTTCATGTTTGATTGGCCAAAGTTTTCATGTTATTGATTTTCCATCTTTCACCCACATGCTCACATTTTCTTGATTTTTGAGGAAAAACTTTTTCCATCACGTTTTCTTTGGTAGGAAAAACTTTTCTAGACAACTTTTATATATATATATTTTTTACAATGGAAACAAATTCTATCTCCAATTGTAATAAATTATATTCTTTTAATGAACAATTTTCATGGAAAACAAAGCCAAACGAATACCAAAAGATCCAAAATTTCAATATTTTCTAGGTGAAAAATTATACCAATCAAACACAATTAATTGACAATTCTCAATAAAACAAGTTCTAGACAATTCAATTCTTTGGAATTCATTTTCTTTCCATCCAAATTTCATTCTAAGTGATCTTTGCGCCTTTCTCTCCTCTCTCACAGACACACACATATAAAAAAAGTACTGGATATGGGCTTTGTTGTTTAATACAGAATTTGTAGCTCCTAATCTTATCTTGGTTCTGATGGAATCTGCCTTTATCTTGATTTTTTTCTTAAGTTAATAATTTGCCTTCTTTCTGGGATTATCGGTTTTCAGCCAACTTCACATAAATAATGCAGGTGTGCAGCATCCCCAGATCGTGTAGATCTAGAAATTGATTAAATTATTTGTTTCAAGAGCTTAAAACACCAGTATATCTTTTATAATATATATTTGTGGTTAAGTATATTCCTTAGCTTCATCTTTTGGGATGGCTTTTGGCTTTTTGATTATGGTGGTGTTTACTTGTGAAACAGATTATTGAATTATCTCAGTTACACCTACATATTTATTTTTCCATTTACTTATAATAATTATCGATTTTAACCGATTAATTGACATACTCATAAAGCTATCCTTTTGCATGCTTAACTGGATCTCACTCTAGTGGAAAAAAAAGGAATATACTACTTGTACATAATGCGGTGTCTATCCCCTCACATAGAGGGGGCCTACTTCAAATAAAATATAATACATTCGAGGTGGGTCCCCCTCCGTGTGAGGGGGTGGACACCGTTATGGNATTGCTTTTGATTTGTTTGTTTTTCAAATGTTCACTTTTGATAAATCAAACTAATGGGCCATAGGATATAAATGCTTTCTCTACATAGCCATAGGTTGTTTTGGTCGTTGATAATTTGTGTTATGGGTCAACTTCGAGATGACATTTCCTTATCTTGAAACAAGTAGATTGGTCAATGCCTTTCGAGAAGAAAAACACTAAAAATGACATTATTGCCCATCGACATTACCTGAAACGAGAAAGCGCTCATGATTGATGGAAATTTAAATCAAGAATCCATGTTGCACAAGTTTTTTTGTGTGTCTGTCCCCTATACTTTTGAAAAGAAAAGAAAAAAAGAATTGAATTTTTGGAGCTGAGGGCTGGCCCTCAAACTTATGAGATACATACTTAGACCATTCTAATACCCTTCTTGTGGAGTTGCAAATTCTTATTTGACTCTTGGTTGTACAGGTTCACTAACTTTTCCTTATGTTGAAGTGGTAAAAGTTCAATTCTAAAGACCTTATTGGAATAATTATTCATCACTATAATCAATAAGTTGGGTGGACCATGTAGTCATGTTTTATTGGGGGCATAAATCAAGCTACTACTCGTCTAAGCAAAACGGACCACCTTCCAAATAATATATCACTATCAATTCATCGAACATACAGTTTATTGTAGATGCAATAATTTTTTAATGCATATTTTCCTGTTATTTTTGTACACATTCTTCTGTTATATGTGAGATTATATCTATAGTGCTTTGGAAGAAGAATTAGGTGTCTAGTTGTGCTGGATTCTCAAGTTGTCTAGTTGTACTGGATTCTCAAGTCTTACGGGCTTAATAGATTTCATGAACATTGAAATAAAAATTTAACAGCCTCGTGAAAATGTAAGAAAGAATGACTGTGGAGAGTTGCAGTATTTTTTTTTTGCAGTTGGGTGGGGTGATGTGGTTTGATTTGGAAGGAATCACTCGTGTGGGAGAAATATGTTATCCTCATGGGAGATATTTTCAGACAATATATAGAAGTAACTAATGTCTGTGAGGGGCTTATAAAGATTTGAACCTTACCCACATATAATGTACAACTTCAAGCAATATAAAGTAGGACTATGCTAGTGGTACATCAAGATTTACATCGAGGTTTACACCTCTCTCACATGAGGTGTGGAGTCCACTCGAATAAAAAAAC